AGATACACTCCCTCCTAGTTTCAGCTTGATATCAACTCAAATGCTTGGGATTTAATAGGGAGGAAAATAAATTGTTCCCCCTTCTTCAAACTGACTGACCTGACCTTCTCAAATGTATTTTTTACAGTGTAGGGCAGAGGCAGCTGGTCTGTCTTGCCCGTGTTTTGCTGCGAAAGACAAAAATCCTGGTATTAGATGAGGCAACAGCTTCTGTTGATACAGAAACGGATCACTTGGTGCAGTCCACCATCAGAAGAGAGTTTCACAACTGCACAATACTAACTATAGCCCACAGGTTACATACAATCATGGATTCCGAGAGGTAAGGTTGGACAGACCTTTTGAAAAACACATGCCTTCCTTTGGACACATCAGTTTTCAGACCTACTAAATTTGACAACCTTAACACTTCTTTACCTCAGTGACTTGTGACCCATTCAGTTCAAGGTATCATGAAAAACTTGTGTATGATATTAAATACTGCTAATCTGTGTTTTAATTCTCCGTTCTAGCAGAGAAGGGAATTAACACTTTCCCCTGAGGTACATTAAAAAACCATATAACTCACTAAAAGAGATAGACTACATTACAGAATTTTCTCCGAGAAAAAAAATCAATTTTCAAAAGTTTTTTTTAAAGGTAGAAATTCCTAGCTTTATGAACAGATGAATTGCCTAATACAAAGAGATTTCTTCCAAGTAAGAGTACCAGTTAACAGATACTTTTAGTTGGACTGGACAATATATCCGAATGGCTCATTTGTCCTCTCATAATTTTTCTACTTTTTCATTGTAGAGTGCTTGTTCTGGACAGAGGAAGAATTCTAGAATTTGATACACCCCATAATTTGTTGCAACAGCAAGGTACTTTTTCTGAAATGGTCGCAGAGGCTGGGATAACCAAATGAAGAAATGCAACGAATGAATTCTTAATAAAGATGAGAATTCTTTACTCCTGTAAATGCTCTAGGGATATGTGGTATTCCTGATGTTATGAAGCAGACTAGCTTCCCTGAAAGCTCCTCCCATTGCTATTTACTAAAGCTAAAATCTGTGTATATTGATCAGGTTTCTTAAAATAACTTTTTTTATCTATCTCTTTTATACAAAGCACTTATTTTGATCATACTGGCACTGGAATAATGAAATAATCATCTTCAAAGCATGTTTTAAATGTTGTACTAGCAAACACAGACCACAAATAAATCTGGCAGTTCGTGTGAGTCACTTGTCTCTCTCCTTGCTTTTAAGAAGCACATAATTAATTTGCTTGAGCATTATACTGATTGATTTAGTTATAATACAGTCTTATCATGAGCTTATCAAAAACAAAAATGTTTGTTTTAGTGACATACAGGCTGATATAATTTGGTTCAGAGTTTCAGGACATGCATAATTGCATCTTTTTTGGTGATTATTGAGGGAAAAAAAAAAATTGCTCCTTAAAGTTGATTTACTTTTGCAATCACCGGGTTAAAAGGAAACTGAAGAACACCTCGATGTATCCCATTGAACATTACAAATCCAGATGGTGAAAAAAAATCAGAAAAAGAGTCAGTTGGGGAGATTTTTTTCATAGTAGATTTTAGTACAAAGCTTAATCCACTAATTAAATTACAGAGAATCACAAAATTTGATTGATTTAAATTAGTAAATTAAAGTAGTATTAAAGAAGAAAGCAGAATTTACTGACAGTGTCAGTTAAACCTACATGTGTATATCTACACCATCCTGTAGGCCACATTAATTTCTGTTTTTATTATAGCTCCTCCCTCCCTTGAAAGACACAGTCAGCTTAAGGCACCTTCCCCTCAGCCTTCTCAGCCCAGGGAGGCTCCTCTCCAGTTTCCCAGCCCTGGCCCTCCTTTTGCTCCAGTCTCTCCTGGCACCATCACAGGACCCAGCCAGGGCCCCCAGGCCTCCAGCCTCGCCCTTGACCAGCCCAGCGGGTGGCCTCACCTCGGCCCCTTCCTTTTCCAGCCCCAGTCCCACTCCAGCCCCTTCACTTCATTAACCCGAGGCGCTGCCCAGGTGTCCCCCACCAGCCAGAGGCACCTGGCGCTCATAGGAGGCAGGAGGCCCTTTCTTGTGTCTGGGCTGCCCTCAGGAGGTCTTCACTGCCTGAAGAGCACTGTGCTGCCACCGCCTGCTAGGTAGAGGTTGTTCATGGAAATTCCAGATTGGGTTTAAGATGCAGGAGGAAAAATAAATATCCCCATGAAACTCCACCATCTTCCAGATTCTCTAGAAATCATTTTTCTCTGCCTGAGCTTTACCCTGCCTTACATGTGAGGAATGACTTGCACGTGGAAGCAAGAGGAGCTGCTTGGAAACCACCACGGCCACCATTCCTGACTGCAACTTTTCAGTGAGCAATTTGCTCCTGCTCTGCAGGGGCCTGACCCCAGCTTTCCCTTTGCATGTCTTTGGAGCCCTTATGAGAGGCTGCTGTCTCCTCTTGCTCTGCCCATGTCCATCCAGCTGTTGACCAACAGCAGGGGAAGGTCCATAGCAGCCCCACGCACAGAGGGCTGGGAGCTCCCTAGGGGGCCAGAGCTCATTGCTGCTTCTGCTTGTCCCTTTCCCTCTCTGATGAGAGATTCCCTCCCCCAGCCCTGTTTCCTACCAGTCCCTCCTTGCTTTTCCATGTACCAATGCACAAGGTTTTTTGCATTTTCAAGTCCCTGTCCCAGTAGTGCAGCTTGAGAGTGCTGAGTTCTCTCCTTGCCACGGCTGTTTCTAACACTCCTCTGCACCAGTCCCTAGAAAAGATGTCACTCCAAGCTAGAGCAGCACCTTGGCACAGTGGGGCGTTACAACTTTGTCCTCTCATCCCCCAGGAATTCAAGGAGTTAACAGGACTGGTTACCTGTTCCAAGTCTTTCCCTGAAAAACTGAAACAAGATATGCCCAAGGGACAGAGAAATTACTTTTATTAAAAACATTTTAAAAGGTTACTTATAAAATGCATTTTGTGTTCTGCATTTGAAAACAACTCAGGAACATACAATTATTGAGGCATCTTATACTTTCAGAATTTCAATCCATGAAACAAGCATGGGCTATGTAAGTATCTGCATTACACCACAGGCAACATTACTCTGATTTGAAAAACGGGCTGTAAAAGACTTCAACCTTCAAATAGCTGTGTGTAACACAGACTTCTTCCAGTAAGCAGCAAACGGCTATATCTGGAAAGATCCCTTTTGTACAGTGTTCCACTCATCTTTGAAATTCAATGTTTTGTGCCAAAACAGTACCAAAACTAAAGATACAAAATAAATAACTGTTCTAAGAATTCTGCCATCAAGTTATCTAATAAATAAGGATGCATTGTGAGATATCCAATGTACAGTAACTTCTCTATTTAAAAAAAAAAAAAAGTGGAGATATCTGAATAAATACCCTTTTGCAAAGTTCAAGTAAACAGTAAGTCACCCCTCCTTTACAATTCCCAGATTAATACTGAAAGAAACTTCACTGTTTAACTCTGCTAAGAGTGCTACAAAGTGGACATATGTCATTTACTTGCACTGAGAGTTTCACATTATAAAGTTGCTCTCAGACTCCTCCAAACTTGCCATATGGTTCTGATTTTATGCAGGTCTGCTCATTTCACAAAGTGCATTAAAAATTAAGACTTAAGACCTGCTGTAATTCCAGCATACTTGGAGAAGAATTTACAGCAGGGCAGGAGGAAAGGCCACAACAACTGAAGACTTTAAACACCTACAAGGCCTGCAAGGCAAAGACAGCAGCTGCGTGAGAACTGTTCTGTATACTGGCATTCATGCCGAAGCTCACTGAAGCTACACTTCTTTCAAGGGAGGAGTTACAGTTATATTCACCTCAGTCCCTCACCGCTCACTTTTGTAAGTGTGAAATATTTTCTTTTGAATACATTATCTCTTTTTACTGAAAGCTCCACACAGACTTTCAGGGTTGATTTTGAAGAGCTACAAAGGAAAAAAAAAATCCTATATTAAAAAAAAAAAATTCCACTCAGTGAAATTAAATGGATGCCTAGCAATATTTGGGGAATGTTTTGTTCAGCTAAGCAATGTTGGTGGAACATTGGTGGTTATGTGAAACTACGATTCAATTTAAGAGTTTTTGACGTTGTTATTTTTTTAAGTTGGATTACTTTCAGAGACATGATTTGCAGCGCAGCGACCCAAAGAGCTGAATCAGCACAACTAAAGAGATGGCGCCATCAATCAAGTCTACCACAGAGACAGTAAGTCCACACTATAGGCGTAGCTGAGACCATGAATCTAAACCCCAAACTTTATATGGGCAACCTTAATATGAAGGGAAAAAAATAATTTGAGGGTCAGAGAAAAGTTCTTAGTACCAACTGCCACTAGCGCTTACCTGGCTAGGACTGGGGTTTGTTACTGAATGTCTACCTGAGAGTCTTGGCTGGATGAATGTTCATTGCAGCAAGCCAGATCTACTCAAAAAAGAACGTATCTAGCCTTTTAAAAATTGCTGTAACTCTCTAAAGAGAGCAGAGCTCAGACACCAAAATGAGTATTGATTTCTCCTTATGCATTTGCTAGATTATTAGACACATAAATACTTGCCTAAAATAAAATCCCAAGATATGTTACCTCAAATCCCCGGGTACAGGCACCATTTTCATCCCAGAACAACAGCTGCAATCTCTAGCCTTGGAGAATAGACAAGAAACGCAAACCAGAGATACTAGCCCAAAGCTACAAAAGAACTAGGAATTTTTCATTTACTAAAACTTCAGGAAGTCCTGTCCGTCCCACACTTTCTCCCTGAAGAAAAAAAAACAAGTGTGGCAGGGGCAGAGGACAGGAAAATTCGTGTTGGTCAAATTCAAGGGAAGATGTACAGGCATAACTTTAAAAGAATACATAAAGTTTATACAGTTTTCATATGAAGGGGATTATAAATAATTGGAGGGAATGCTATTGTTCTCTGGTAAGAATATTAGTGGTATGAAAGCAGCACCTACAAGTAACAATTAAACACACACCAGGAACACAGCTCTTGCAGACACAGTAAGCAGCACTGTGCATTAACAAGAGCTAAATTTCTTATTATGGTTTGACTGAACCGAGACAAGAATTTGCCACATAGTCTCAATAAAATGCTGTTATGAACAGCAGAAGAATCAAGTGAATGAGTAAATCTCATTCAAGCTGCAACATGCCTTTTAGAAAGGTGCTTAAATGCTCAAATGACTCAATTTAATAAATAACTTTAAGCTCATCACTGCAAGTGCTATGTGCGCCAACATTGATTCACATTTCTTAAAGTAAATATATTAAACATGGGAATGGTTATAGCACAATAACATGATACTTGCAACCTTTGGTCACATTCCCTTTATATTTTCATTTTAAAACAAACACTTCTTCAGGATTTGCTAATAATCCCGAATTAGAGAATGTGTCTATGCATGATTAGCATTTTCATCTGATATTTCCATCTATAAGTCATCAGGGGACACTTCAGAACTTAAAAATCACTCATACCTTTAAAGTAACATTTAGCTTTAACAAATCTAGATGTCCAGCAGCACCTAATTGGTATAGATACAAAAAAGAATATAATATGGCTAAGATTAGGCTTCATTGCCAGGGAGATAAGTATGCACTGCCATAGTGCACTGGAGAAATGGAATGCAATGGGAAAGCTTATTTTCAGTTAAAATTAGTTTTCCGTAAATGCCTATTAGGAATTTCTACAGCACTAACTTGGAGAGGCCAAGACCCCCCAACGATTCCTGCTTGGATGGCTACACCCGTTACCACAGCTAAATCAGGATCTACAGAGGTGTTAGGTTCCTTTCCAAAGAAATCTCGAATAACTTTGCGGATTTGAGGGATCCGTGTGGAACCTCCAACTAACACAATTTCATCCACTTCTGCTTTGTGTAGGTGGCCTTCCTTCAACACCTGCTCAATGGGCACAAGAATCTTCTCAAAAAGGTCCTCATTCAACATCTCAAAGAGCTTTCTAGAGATTTCCATTTCAAACACAACTGTGACAAAGTTGTTCTGTGCTTGTGGGTTTGCTCCTTCAAGATTTTTCTCTTCTTTTGTTATTTGTGAAGGCTTGTCTTTAAACATGGTATTTTTGGTCAGCTCACTTTCTGGAAGATCTTTTGTAATCTTTTCTGGGATAGTCAATGCCACTTTTATTGTAGAGGTCTCGTGCACAGTCAGGTTTAATTTAACTGCTTCCACAGCCTGCCTGAGTCGATGTATTTCTTCTTTTCTTGATGGTAGAGAACCATACCTTTGATGGAGCTGAGCATACAAATGCTGCAACAACCTTTGATTAAAATCCTGACCTCCAAGTTTGTTGTTACCTAAAACATCAGAATAGAGTGCATCAGGCATCATAAAAAAATAAAACTTCAGAAAGCAAAATACATCGTTTCTTAGTTAGAGGTGGTTCTCGAGCCAAAACAGTGATACTAGGGCAATAAGCACAGAGAAAGAGCTCACAATGCTGGAAAGATTGATAAAATTATTACTCACTGAAGAATACAGGGCAGATAGCCCTTTTCAAGATTTTTACTTAGCAAGTAACTGAAGAATTTCCCTTGCACCCAGGAGAGTTTTGTTACTGTGTAACAGCAAAAAAGTAACGAAGCTCTTTTCTACACAGAATGAGCAACGCAGAAATTGTAGTAAGGCAAAATTCTAGCCAGAGTCCTGTAGCTGTATTCTCCAGAACGTCTTATTTTTGTTTTTCAGTCTCAAAGCAAATTTCTCTTTGCCCAGGGTAGACCTTTCTCTCTGCATTTTTGCAGTACAGCTTCAAAAGGACGACTGCTTTAACATTTCAAGCTAAGGCCTTCATGCATTCACATGCAAGTTACGTGCTCCTGATGGATACGCACATACCCTGGTGAAGGCAGAGGTGTGCAATGCAGATGGCAAGCTCCAAGCTCTAATATCAAACAGACACATCTTCTCTTAGCCACTAGAAAACAAGTACCGTCCATTCCCAATTTCTTCTCGAAGGATATTGCCGAACAACCTTCCCAATAGCTTTTAAATAATTACTCTTTCTTTCCTTTCAATCCTAGAAACGGCCTATAAATTTTCATCCATGTTGAACAAGACTCTCTATTTTCCTCCTTTTTGTTTTGTTTGAAAGCAAGAACTCAGTTTAATGGACACCCATTCAAATAAAGCAGGATGAAGCTGTTAAATGCTGCTTGGTGCCCTATGCTCACTGGGCAAAACAGCAGCTCACACAAAATTCATCCATTTGAGGCAAAGCTAAAGGAGGCACCACCTCTTACATCTGTCTGAGTCCAGGTCACCTGCAAAGCAGTTGTGTATCCACCACAGTGCTACCAGAGGCTGCTGCCAGGGCTCTCTGCCAAGTGATGCATCACTTTGGCACATACCTATTACAAAACTAGTTGCTGGGTTAACAGCAGGCCAGTCCCCTGCCCATCTGAGCAGGAGACAAAAGCAAGGCAAGGACATCTAAAAACTCTTCAGTCTGGTTGATACTCTCAGCTCAGCTACACAAAGGTGATAGAAGGCTTTGTTTTATCCTCTCCTCTCCCCCTCAAACTCGTTCTAGTTTAGTCAAAGTATTTTAACACATGCTACCACTTACACTAGGCATTAATCTTGCCCATTGCGCTTGATGTTTAATTACACTGTTACTTTGGAGTCATTCAGAACCTGAGCATCTCTCAACTACTGCAGACAGCTGCAAACCTAACTTTCCATAGAGGCAGCAGAGAACACTTTCAAAGGGCACCTTGTTACAAGAGCAGTGTGTTTCAAGGCTTTTTTAAACAGTGACTTCAGGAGCAACGCTCCATCCCCCTGCTGAGAAAGCAAAGTCTTATCCTTACCTGCCATGGCTCGCGTGAGGAACATCCCTCCCTGCTTGTTCAACAGGGAAACGTCTAACGTTCCTCCACCCAAATCCACCACGAGGACATTAAACACATCAGCTTTGTGGAGGCCGTAGGCCATAGCTGCAGCAGTGGGTTCGTTTATCACGCGCAAAATTTCTAGCCCTACAAGAGCAAAGAAATTAAGTCACACTCACAATTATACAGCCATCACTAATGTTCAAACAAGTTTACCTCTAGTAAAACATCATATCTAAGTGAGACAGTTCACCAAATATTACTGCTTGGAAAGCTTTTTTTCTTATTTAAGCTTTATCAGCTGCATCTCTCGCAACCCAAGAGTTCTTTGGTGTTCTTCACAATTGCTAATAAACTATAAAATTCCACAGTTTTCTGTTGGTGATTTGCCATTTAACTCTGTATCAGTCCCGAAGATTTTACTGTAATAAAATAAACCTAACGATAGCCTTGGTATTAACAGGAAAACACTGGAATAAAAGAGACATCACCTGCAAGGTTAGCTGCCTTAATGGTAGAATTGCGCTGCTTTTCATCAAACTCTGCTGGTACAGAGATGACTGCCTTTGAAACAGGCATGCCAAGAGAGTCTTCTGCCATTCTCTTCAACTTCAGAAGCAGCTGGGAGCCAATATACTCTGGAGTGACATGAAAGGTTGTGTTGGTTGTCACAGAAAATTCAGCCAATCCATTCTTGTTTAAAATCTGGAAGGAAACAGCAACAAAATCCAGATATGTGAAATCTGTTTTTTGTTACAAAAAAAATACATCCTTGCTCCTGCCCTGCACCCTCAAAAGCTGTATCTGTATATGGTCTGCCAATGTACTCTGCCACCCAAAACCCACTTTGCCGGAAACACTTTTATTTCTTGATTTTGAGTAGCATGCAAAACCACTAAAGGGTTGGAATACATCAGAAGGATTGTAGCCCATGGTAGCCAGATACATTAAAAATAGTTGAAAACCTGGCAACTGTGCAATTAACTTCAACATTATACGTGTCAATATCACAGTCAGAAATGCAGGAAATCCTTTTCATGGTTAGGTCCCCACACTGAAAAAGCATCCCACAGGTTCTTCTTTCTTAAAGGAAGCAAACAAGCTGGTACAAGAACACTTCTGACAGGCAAAGAATTCAAAAGACTGTTCCCGATACCTGGGAATTTGCAAATAAAGCTTCAGCAAATACTACACCATGCTAAATTTACACAATACTTTAAATAAAAAGTATTTGGTATTTGGTATTTGTCCACTTAGCGCTAGGAAAAAAGTACTAAAGGAGCTAAAATACACTGGAAAAGAGGAATCATGACTGACTTTTTATTTTAGGTTTTAGTCTCAGGACAAAGGTGAAGTTTCAGTGATGTTAAGGTATAAGCTTCACTTTCAAAGCTAGCTCAAGAGAAGTTACCTGGAAGGTTACCCAGAAAAAAACATCTCACAGTAAAGGAAACTGTCTCTGAAAAATCATTATCAACTCTCATGCAGAATCATAGAATTCCTAAGTTTGGAAGGGACCTCTATACGTCATCTAGTCCAACCCCCCTGCACATGCAGGGTCACCTAGAGCACGTGGCACAGGACAATGTACGAGTGGGTCTTGAAAATCTCAAGAGAAGGAGACTCCACAACCTCTCCGGGCAGTCTGTTCCAGGGCTCTGTCACCCTCACTGTTAAGAATTTTTTCCTTAAGTTCCTGTGGTGGTGTTTCAGTTTCTGGACATTTTCTCTAGTTCTGCCGGTGGTCACCACTGAAAAGAGGCCAGCACCATCCTCCTTGCTCCCTCCCTTGAGGTACTTATAGACACTGATCAGGTCCCCTCTCAGCCTTCTCTTCTCCAGGCTGAACAGGCCCAGCTCTCTCAGCCTCTCCTCGTAGGGCAGATGTACCAGGCCCCTGATCATCCTTGTAGCCCTGCGCTGGACTCTCTCCAGCAGCATGGTCAACTTATCATCCACTATGACAGCCAGGTCTTTCTCTGCAGAGCTGCTCTCCAGAAGGTCATTCCCCAGCCTGTACTGGTGTCTGGGGTTATTCCTCCCCAGGTGCAGGACCTTGCACTTGGCCTTGTTGAATTGCATGAGGTTTTTCACCGCCCAGTTGTCTAGTCTGTCCAGGTCCCTCTGGATGGCAGCGCAGCCCTCTGGGGTATCAGCTACTCCTCCCAGTTTCGTGTCATCAGCAAACTTGCTGAGGGAGCACTCTGTGCCTTCATCCAGGTCATTGACGAATAAATTGAACAGGACTGGACCGAGGACTGACCCCTGGGGGACCCCACTAGCTACAGGCCTCCAACTAGACTCTGCACTGCTGATCACCACCCTCTGAGCTCTGCCATCCAGCCAGTAGTTTCCTGCTTCTACAGCTTTGTTTCTCCTTCTCATCCCCGCATGTACAAACTGCATATTATGGTTTTCAGGCATATCAGATTTTGCTGAATGACTCCCAGGGTCAGAAAAGCTGGTCACCCATCATATGGTTCAAGAATACAGCAATTTACCTTAAATGGATATCTGCTACTTTCATTTTTCAGTTCTTCTGGAGTGAAGACTTTTCCAATGAATCTTTTGGCGTCATATATAGTGTTCTGTGGATTTGAATCGGCCAGTTCTAGGCCATCGTAGCCCACATAGACCTCTCTGTCTGTGAAAGACACTATGCTTGGAATGCTGTTGTGACCATTTTCGTCCGCAATAACCTTCACTTGCCCAGTTCCAGGGAGGAAGACACCAACAGAGCAGTAAGTCGTGCCAAGATCAATCCCAATTACTTTCGGTGTTGGCATTGGTAAATACTGCTGCGCTAAATAGCCAGCTAACAGGAGAGCCAGAACTGCCGAACCTGAAATACAGGAATCATAAATAAATAAATAAGCAAGCACTGCAGTAAAACCACAGGGTTGGAGAATCTACCATTGCAAACTCAGAAATCAGGGCAAACAACATCATCTTGTATTTTGCACCTCATGCAGAATTATTTTGCTCTGTGAAGCCTGACCAACCACCTGTATAGTTCTCAGGTTCTTCAGAGGTCATCAGCAGGTTCAGGTCTCTGAACTGTGCCGTTACGAACCACTGCTAAACTGCTACCTGCCTGGTTTGCAGAGATGAAACTCTTAGCGTTAACGTCTAAAGTGGCTCATAAAAAGAGGTGCAACACAGGTAAAAATATCAACATCCTGTGCTAATTATTTTTCCAGCCACAAAGTGCTTCACAAATATAGGTTAATTGCCAATCTCCCGGGGATCGCCTATGAATAGTCCCTAAGGGAGAGCTGGTTATTGAGGTCATGCAAAACCAGGATGAAATGAGCAGTCCCATTAAAACTCCTCCTTCGATCTCACTCAAAGCATCTAAAGAAGGAAGCAGGAAACCCCAACTCTGCCCGCCGCAGCGCTGGCTCCCGAGGAGCCCCCCTCCGCCCGCCAGCACCGTCCC